TTTTCACTGTTTCATTAAATCAAACAGTCAGATATTTGTGCAAAAAATAAATTTTATTATAAATAAATAGAAAGGACTACTTATCAAAACAGACAATAGTATCATTTTTTCCATTGAAACTGATATATACACTTCTATTGTGTTTGCTTTTCTTCTGGTATAATCCAAATGATCAACTTTTGGGTCAACAATGTTCTTCAGCATCTCTCTACATCTCCTTAACACTGGAAATGGCATGAATGTCCTCAGTAATAGTATTACAGTACCACTTACTCCATTGTTTTATAATTCTTGTTACTACCCCCTTCAAAAAAGCAAATTCATCTTTCAGTCATCCTAATGCTGCTTTTCCATCCGCTGCTTCTTATTGCTGTTATGTATCATCATCAAGTTGACTGCAACTCATAGAGACCCTATGACCAACAGATCTGAACCCTGTCCTATCCTGGGTCATGTTCATCATCTTTGACACAGTTGATGCCATTCCTATAGTGACTGTGTCAATCCATCTTGTTGAAGGTTCTTGTGTCTTACGGTGACCTTTCTAACCTACCTTTCTAACCATGATGTCTTTCTCTAAGGAACAATGTTCCACAAAGTATTTATATCAATGCATCTATCCCCCTGTCAAAATGCAGTATTTAAGACCCTGTACCGTGTATAGAATCCCAGTTTAAGAAGTTAAGCAGATGTCCTTAAGTGCATTCTTCTAGGGCAAAGGTGAGTGCCTTTTGCTGCAGGACAAGTCCTCAAATATTATGAGCTACTCAGCTCTTGTCTTACTCTATTCCCTTGATTCCTAGCCTGTCTGGACTCTTGACAATCTCAGTTGCCTTTATATGGATGCTCTTTAGTTCATCACAGCCCCTATTTAAATTTGGCACCCCAAATAAGCTTGATCCTAAAGACATTATCTATCAATACAGACTACAGAAGGACTCATCCCTGTAACGAAACCAATGTTTATACTAAAAAAGGTATTATTTTAATATTTTGCAAGGATTTTTGAGAAATAACATAACTCTATCTGATTCATGGGATGATTGTAATCAATAAAAGTCACAAAGATTTTCCATTAATATTTTCATATTTGTGCTAAAGAGTGTTTATATCCAAAAGTACATTTACCCTTGATGAATGCAGTTATTAGTACACCGGCTTAATATAAATTTCATATACTTCTTCATCTTTAAGTGTGTCTGTGGATTGCTTTAACACCATGTCCTCTGCAGTTAGAAAATCTTTTATTATTTAGTGTTGAATAGAATGGGATAAAGGCACTCTATGTGGAGACATTTTCATGTTATATGAAGCTATGAATAGATATTCTTGAGAGTAGGTAAACCATATTAATCCATCAAGTCAGGAAAATATCAGTAGCCAGTTAGTGTACTTAGATTTTCAAGCTGTTTCCTGATCTATCTACTTAGGAATATCATTAAAAAAGGTATCAAATTAGTTTAATAAAACTTGTTATTAGTTGGCATTTGTTGCCTGCTAATTATCATCAATGAAACTCTGGTAGCCTAGTGGCTAAGGAGCTGCACTGCCAATCCAAAGCCAAGTGGTTTAAATCAACAGCTTCTCTGCAGCTGAAGATACGTAATCTCTTCCTATGCAATTTACAAAAAAAAAATTACTGGAGGGTCAGCTATGAGATGGTTTCAACTTAATCGCATATCAACAATGATCATCATAATTATTTCTTCTTGTTAACAAACAAGTCTTTAATAACTTTACATGAATCCAGTTACACTATTGATTATAATTTCTGGAATTCTATTTTTAGAAAATAAGCAGAACATTTAACTACTTATGATCTCATAGCACCACTCACATTTGCCATGGCTTTTCAACAACTACCAAACAATAGCTCTGAGTTTGTAGCTAAAAAGTCTGTTATCATCCTCGTACATTTGATCTCATTTTAAACATCTAAGAAAAAACATATTAATTCCTCATCTAACTTGGGCTGCAATTCCCATTTTTCATTGTTTGTTCCCCACACTCAGTTTGAGAACTTATCTGGAAAAAGGAAGAAGAAAAAAAAGTTGAATAATTCTGTCATTTCTCTGGCATAGTTTCTGTTATCTTCTCCAAACAGAAGGCTTATTATTTCCTTATTTCTGTTTGACTAAACATAGCTTCACCATCCCTTCTGGTAATTTTTAATCATTTTTAAAATTACTTAGCAATGCTTTTTTTGATAGATTTGCTACATTTTGTAGGTTCATCTGTAGTTACTCTTTTTTATGTGTCTTATACATAACTTCTGACACCTGAGATTAATAGTATCAGACAACTAGTAAAACTATTACCTAAGACATTTCTTATTTACTATAACTATTCCATGATTACTCAGCTTCAAGTTTGGTGGCTCTCAAAACCTTCTTCTGTTACTCAGAATTCATTTTCAAGACTCAAGAACAAGGTTTTAAATAAATCACACACATCCCAACAATTTAAAAAAAAAAAAGTAATGGTTTCTCAAAGTTCAGGGCACTTGACTGAATCTTGCTAGAGTTCCCACTTCTGGCCATGTAATCTTTTAACTTAAAATGAGTTAATCTAACACAGAAGAAGCTAAGCATAAAATTATCCACAGTGAGGTTTGGTTTTGTTTATTAAATCTTAACAATGAGTACTGTATTAAAACTGTCAGGTCATTAGACAATGCACTCAGTGTGATGAAAGCACCAAGAACAAACAGACGTTAAAGGAAAGGGAAAAACAAGTCATCTCGTCACGTTCACTTTCTAAGACTCAGTGTGGCAAGTCAAGGATACATTTCCCTTTTAACTAAGACGAGTTACGCTGCCAATCCAAAGACAGCAGTTTAAATCCATCCACTGTTCCTTGGGGGGAAGAGGGTCAATCTCCTCCAGTGCTATTTTATAGCCTCCTTGCTGGAGGGTCAGCTATGGGTCAGTTCCAACACAACAACAATGAGTTTTGAGAAGAGCCATTCAGAATGAATAATCTTTTCATCCTCCAGATGTTTGTACTATAATTTTGAGAATGTATTAAAATCAACATGCTTTAACAAGGTTTTTTTTTCAGAAGCTATCAAAATATTTCTAGATTTCTGACACAGTTTGAGAAATTTATTCTGTACTCTAAAATTTGTACTCGATAATCTTCAGCAAAAGTTATACTTTTTTTTTCTTCAAACACATGACATTTGTTCACGAAGTATCTTTTTTTTTCCACATCTTTCATGTGACTCACACCAGTTAAACTTCTTCAATGGTTTTAATCTAGCAAAGTTAGCTTCAAGTAATCCATTGAAGCTGATCTTTCCAAATCTTAAAAAAGTATTTTGAGATCTTAAGAGTTTTCAAAAGGCTGACTTTTAAATACAGAGAAACAAAACACAGTATGGCAAAGACAAACTGGTTAGCGTTTGGTGTGTTGGCTTCCAGAGTTATATCCTGACAAAGCAAAAGAAAAGGGGGAAGATAGAGTAGAAAAAAAAGAGTAGGAAAGAAGGAGAGACAGCAGGGGGAAGGAAGAAACTAGAGGAAAAGGAGGAAGAGGGAGCAAATACTATCCCATCAAAGAGATTTTAAAATGTGTGTACTATTAAAAAAAGTCCTACCCTGTATGTCTAGAAAAACTAACACCAATTTGTTTGATTATAACAGTTATGATTTTTCTGCTTGCCATGGTCCCTTCTTTAAATTCTTTTTAGCTGATATTAATGCTTCTAATTAAGATCAAGTAAACTTTTTCTTACATGCAATAGGAACACAATTCTAGAGTAGAAAACTCATAAAGGTGCCAAGTGGAGAAACTCTGCTCCACTGCTCTAGATTTAAACTTGCTGTTGGATTTAACATTGTTGTTGTTGTTATGTGCTGTTGAGTCATTTGCGACTCGTAGCGACCCATGTACAGCAGCCCTAAACTCTGCTCTATCCTGTGCCAATCGCATTGCCTCTGACACACCCATACCGATTACCCCAGTCACTGAATCAATCCACCTCATAGAGGGTCTTCCCCTCCTGCGCTGTCCCTCCACTCTACCCAGCATGATATCCCTCTACAAAGACCTGTCTCTCCTCACAACATGTCCAAAGTATGTCAGACGAAGCCCCAGAATCCTTGCCTCCAAGGAGTAGCCTGGTTTAACCCTCTCTAGGATGAATCTGTCTGTTTTCTTGGCAGTCCATGGTACATTCAATACTCTTCTCCAGCACCACAGCTCAAAGGCATCAATTCTCCTTCTATCCTCCCTAGACATTGTCCAACTCTCTGACGCACAACAAGTGATTGCAAAGACCATGGCCTGTATCAGGTGCACCTTCGTCTCCAAAGAGACACCGTTGCTCTTGAGTACTTTAAAGAGGTCCCTAACAGCAGACTTTCCCATCGCAATACGTTTTTTTATTTCCTGGCTGCTGGTGCCAAGAATGTTGACTGTGGAGCCGAGCAAACTGAAGCTGTAACATTAGTGAAGGCAAATTTCTTTACTATCCAAATCTTTTTTTCCCTAGACAACATCAGCAAATATTCACAGTAAATGCCATAAAGCACTTTGAACATGAATAAGCATGAAGGCTTAGATGGTTATACTAATCATCACTATTTTAAAAAGTAATCCTTTTTTAAAATGCAGGCCTCACTTTTTTATAACTATTTTGACATAAATTTGTTTTGGGGAATTAAAACATTATCTTAAAATGTATTATCAAAAATATTCTTTCTGTAGACCTCTTCTACTTAAAAATTATTTCTATAGACATCTGCCATATAAGAAAATTCAAGATGATATTTTTTTTCTGTTTGGAAGTCTCAGGTTGGTCATTGGGGGTTTTGGTTTTGGTTGTGTTGTGTTTTTTTTTTTAAATTCAGTAACAGCATCCCATTTTTTTTATTTCATAGAGGATGTTAAAGACTGTATTTCCATTTTATAGTTGAATTCAGTCTTCATCCCAACGAAAGGACTACTATAACTTTGAACACTTTTTTGTAATTTACCTGCACCTGAGTTGCAAAGCTTTAGCCATAGTACTCTAATTTAGAACCCTCACTTTTAAAGGTCATCTCAGACTCCACACTCAATCTAGAACAAAGTAGCAATTTCTCTGAGTCATCTTTATACCTTTGTGTCCAGAGTTCCGCTACACTCTGAGACCTGGGGGACAGGGTCTCAAATTGGATATAAGTCTCTTTGGCCAGGTCATCTTCCCAAAAAAGTTCTGTCTTACACTGAAGCTTGCAAACTTTGTACAAGAGATAACAAATCAATGGCATGACAATTACACAGGCAGTACAGCTCACCACAATAAGGAAAGACCCTGGGAAATCACCTTCTCCAACTCTGTTGGTAGAGAAGGTGATACACTGGTCTACCTGGGGAGGTGCCCCTTTGGGACACACACATGCTATGTACTGCCTGCCAGACTCCAACCCTTCTACAGTGACTTGGTTCTTGCTTGCCTCTACATTCAGGTGGAGCAGGTCTTTTTCACCATACTTAGAATACAGCACAGTCACTGCAGAATTATATGTGCTATTGACAGTATTCCACATCAGAGTCACACTCTCTTCAGTCTCTCTGACCACTCTGAGGTTTTCGATTGTGGCATTTGTCTCCACAGGCGTTGCTTGATCCAATAATGCCAACTCTTCTTTTTTGCTTGCACTTTCTAGGGGAAGCTTCCGTCCATCCATCTCTACCTTTAAATTCCTTTTCCCTTCTAGGTGGAGCTGGAGTGGCCATCTATTGACCATGGTGGTGCTTGTTGACATTTTAGTGCTTAGAATTGTAGTCCAAGAACCAACGGGGGAGTTGGAAGGGGAGAAGGAAGCAGTGGAGGGAGGAGATAAAGTAGAAGCAGACAAAGAAGTGGAAGAAAAGTGCAAGGGAGAGGGTGATGAATTAAGCGTGGATACAGATCTTCTAGATCCTGGCATCACTTCCTGATGGGGATGATCTTCTCCAGTTCTTTCTAATGTTTCCAGTGATGTGGTGGTTGTGACCACGCCAACCACTGTCACAGTAACCACAGCTTCTGACATTCCAGCCAAATTTTTGGCCTTGCATTTGTAATCCCCAGCATCCTTGTAAGAAATGCCTGTAAGACTTATTATGGACCATCTGACTCCTTCCCCTGGAGATTCTTGAATTACTGGAAGAAAACAAACGTATATGTGAGAAAATTAAGGTAAAACTCTAGCAAACATAATAAATGAAAAGCAAACAATGATCTAGGTCTAAACACACCCTTCTCACAAAAAATCAACCAGGAAGGACACAGTATAAGTCTCTGTGCATGGTGATGGAATCATAAATTTTTTCTATGAAGGTCTAGAGCATGCCAGGTGCCATGAGCTTTAGATGAAGAATGGAATTTAAGAAGACTTTGAAAGTGCAACAATGAATGACTCGAAAGCCTAAGTCTCTGTAAACTTTCATTAAAATGAATTTAAAAAATTATGAGGAAAAAAAAAGAAGACTTTGGAGCTAGGAATCAAGAGCCTTGGGCTTTAGTAAACTTCTGTTCACTAATGTGATAGTTTCACACAGGTCAAATCATTTTTGTAGCTCTGTTTTCTCAATTGTAAAAGGAAAAAATAAGACAAAGTGCTCTTATGGGGTACTTACAACTTTAACTCACAATAACGTGTTCATCAAAATGACTCATCTAAATACTTCCCAGAGTATTTTCTCACTGTAATAAAATGCCACCTATCTATATACTCAGGGAGTTCTGGTGGGCTACTGGTAAGAAGCTCTGCTGCAATACCAAAGGCACACTGTTCAAACCCACCAGCTGCTCTGCTGGAGAAAAAGGAACAATCTCCTCCCATACAATTTACTGCCTTTGAAAACCTGCTCGAGGGTCAGCTATGAGTTGGTTCTGACTTGACAGCAAACAGCAGCATCCACATAGTTAGAAGACACAGTAGACACTTTTTCTGTCATGGGGTAGTCATAATTTGTATTCTGAATCTCTCATGTTCAATCTAGATAAAATAGTAAAGTGTAGATTCTCTCTCTAGGTTGCACAATGGTATGTACTTTTTTACAGAAATTGGAATTTTACTGTTCTAAACACTAAAATCTGAGCCTATTTCCATTTTGTTTTGATTGCTAAAGCTTTCTGAAGTGTAAGAACGCACCAAGTTGTAGCCCAACAAACCAAAACTTACATTACAATCTTAAATCCTGAAGAATTTGCTTTTCTTTTTTTTAGAGAATTTTAAGCTTTAACTTTTGACTTTCAACAGGCTTCATCATTTCAACCTGAAATTTACGTTCATTAAAGTCCTTTAAAAGTATATTTCTGTTGTGCATGCTTCAGCAGCACATACACCAAAATTGAAACACTACAGAGAAGACTAGCATGGCTCCTGCACAAGGATGAGGCACAAATTTGTAACAGTATATCCCTGTCGTCTTCAAAATATTGCCTCTAAGGTGATGCAAACAGAAATCAAGGCCGTATCACTAATTTGATCATGTGTTATTAAGAATCATCAGTCATAATATAATATAAAAAGTTCATGTAATCAATATTTCTAAATGTCATACTTCATTTCATAAGTTCTTGACATATTGAATTATTTAAACTCATTCAAAATGAGGAATTTGTAATAAAATGTCATTCAAAAAACTTTATTGGTTATCCATTTCATGATGAAACTTCATCTCCACACTTTGGGCATGCTGGTAGAAGGTGCCAGTCCTTTAAGAATGTCATGTTTGGAAAGGCAGAGGGCCAGTGAAGAGAGGAAGATCCTCAATGAGATGGATAAACACAATGGCTGTACCAATGGGCTCAAATATATCAGGGATGGCTCCCGATAGGGCAAGATTCAGATCTGTTGTTGATGGGATTGCTGTGAGTAATTGTTGACTCAGTGGCACCTAACAATAACAACAACATGCATTTCAAAGTCAGACATTAAAAGCAATGGAGCACAACACGATGCTTGTCTGTGATCACTCACACACTGGATCCTGGGTTTTTCCCATCTTAAAAGAAGAATCCAATTACCTCATTTTACCTATGAAGTTAGTATATGGACTGAAGGGATCTTAACCAATAAAATGTCTCTTGCAAGTCTTTTTTGTCCAACAATATTGGTATATTTTAGTAGAAGTAAGATCACAACGTTCAAATCACACAAAAGCCTGAGACTGGGACCTTGCGAGCTCCTTGTTTCATAGGAACGAAATTAATGAAGGGAGTACCTGCATAATTCACCGCTGCGCTGTTGGACCTGATCCATGTGAGCTCTGGGGTTGGATAGCCGGTGGCATCACATCTCAGCAGGACATTGCTGCCCAGAGCAGATGTGATTTTGGTGGCTGAGGTCATCACAGATGGCTTCTGACACTGCGCCAGCTCAGCACGCTGGAATGGAATGCCCGCGAGGCTCTGCGGTTCATTGCAGACCATCAGTGGGTCCAAGAGCACCACTGTAGGGTCAGCAACCTTCGACAGCTCAATCATTTTAGAAATATGGCAGTCACAGAACCAAGGATTGTCCTGTAAGCCTATTGGAGAGGGAGAAAAAGTTAACACAGATTATTAAAATGATGTCACTCACAGCCTCTTGGGAATGCAGCGGTCCCCTTAAAAAAAAAGTTGACTTGAGAGGGTTACATCTAAGTTGGTTTTACTCTGCAATCTAACAACCTGAATGTATCCTGTCTTGTTTAGAACATTAATGTCAACTGATAAACTTTACTGAGGTGTTGGTTTTGTTTGTTTGTTTGTTTGTTTGTTTGTCCTGGGCTAAACTATAAGCTAAGGAGGGCTGTAGTATAGTGTGGGTAATGGTTTGAATCCGCCAGTGCTCTGAGGGAGAAAAATAGGCAGTCTCCTATAAAGGTTTACAACCTCAGAAACCCAATGAAGGGTCACTAGGAATTGAAATCCAGTTGAGAATAGTGAGTTTAGTTTAGGCTATGCTGTATGTAATAAATACTTTCTCCTATTATGTCATTTAATCCCAACAATTCTGTGAGAAAGAGAGCACTATTATTCTCGTTTTAAAGGTGATTAAGTTGAGACACAGTAAGACTAAATAACTTACCCATCATGTATCTTATCCATCTCAGAATCAATATATGACTCTAATATCATAAGCAATTCCTGTCAAGTCATCAGAGTAATAATAAGGCCTACAGGCTTCTTAGTCTCTGGATTTTTACTACTAGATTGTCAGGCTTTTCCTCCAAGACACATCTGAGTGGACTTTTTGGTTAGCAGCTGAGTGTACTAATGATATGCACCACCAAGGAACTCTCCATGCAGTGTGTGTGTGTGTGTGTGTGTGTGTGTGTGGTGTGTTGGTTGTTACTGTGTACAGTAGAGTCAGAACCGACCCATAGCTGACCCTCCAACCAGTTTGCAGAGGCAGTTAATTGCTTGGGAGGAAACTGCCCATCCTTATCCCGTGAGCAGCTGGTGGCATCAAACTGCATGCCTTCAGGATTTCAGCTTCTTGCCACTAGGCCACCAGAGCTTCCTAACTGGGTAAATGAGGGGACAAGAGGGGGATGGGGGGAGGGAGAGAGAGAGTGCACATGAAAGGGAGGGATGGAGGGAGGGAGAGGGAATGATACTCATTAGCATTTTAAAGAGGGCTTTGGGAACACTTTCATAGCACCCTAGAAAGCCTCCATCAATGCACATATGGCATGATGGAAGCTTCCTCTATTGCTATGAAAACGGTTGCCAAAAGCCTCTTTAAAATGTTAATTGAAGGGGAGCTCTGGTGGCCTAGTGGCAAGAAGCTGCACTGCAATCCCAGAGGCACACGGTTCAAATCCACCAGATGCTCTGCCGAGGAAGGAGGGAAAATCTCCTCCTGTACCAGTCAGATCTGATTTGATGGTACACACACACAAAAATAATAATAAAATGAATTTTTAAAAAAAATGTTAATTGAGTACTTTAAAGATATTACCTTTAAGACTAAGGTGTGGATTCTGAACTGCCAGACCTTTGACAGTCACCATGAAGTTCAACCCTTTTGTGACCTCAGATCACAGCAAGAACCGCACATGTGCAGGAAGATCATGTCCTCCCTGCTGTCCAAGGAGCTGGTAGAAGTACAATATGCGCTGCATGTCAATCTGCAAGGGATACGAGGGTCCAGGTGGTGTGAGAAGACTACAAAAGTGAGCAAATTGGCAAGGTAGTCTAAGTGTACAGAAAGAAGTATGTCATCTACAAAGAAAGTGCAGCATGAGAAGGCTAATGATACAATTGTGCATGTGAGCATTCACCCAAGCAAGGTGGTTATCACCAGGCTGAAATTGAATATAGATGTGGGGGAGGGGGGATTGTGAACATAAAGCCAAAACTCCACAAGTTGGAAAAGAGACCTGTTTCCTTTTACAGGTGAAAGAATAATTTATACACCCGGCCCCAGCTTCCTCCCTCCCCACCACAGAGAGATCAGCCCACCCCCCTTGGACTGAGAACAAATACCACCAAATCCCCCATCCTGCCCACCATATTGATCTGTTACCTTTCACAAGTTAGGAAGATCACCAATATCCAAAATTCTGTCAAGATATCACTTGCAAGTAACAAGAATGATTCAAGGACCTGCCACTGAACTCTCTCACAGAGTAGAAAAGAAAGGTGCTTTGGACTTAAACACTGCTATATAGCTACATCACATGCAATTTCTTAAGATTGTATAGGAAAGGTCGGAAGGAGACCTGGTTACTGCAGGGCAACAGTCATCCTGCTTCAAGAAAACAAGAGGGGAGCACCAATATAAAGATCTTTCACATAACATTACCATAAACTGGGCCGTTGTAAAATTACAACAGCCTAGCATCTACTAAGAAAAGACTTACATTATAGCAAGAAAGCAACAGTCTACCTTAGTCATTATGGGGGAAAAAATAACCCTTCTCCTCCTAAAAGAGCAGACCCAATGAATATTCCAGATAGAACCAGAAGAAATATATTGATGTGGAGTTATTTGAACACCTACAGAAGATGATGCAAATGATGAAGAAACAATAAAGAGAGCAAATACCCCAGAGACAGCAATCCAGAAGAAATATATTGATGAGGAGCAACCTGAACAGCTATCGAAGAAAACATAAAAGATGGAAGAAAGACTTAATGAAATAGGTAAAGAAATACAAGAACTTAAAAAAATCATCACAAGACAGAGAGGGCACAACAAACACAGTACTAGAAATAACACAAAAGCATGAAAATGCAATTCAGAATACTAAGACCAAGATGCCAGAAGTGTCCAACATGCTGGTAGGACAAAAAAGGAGAAGTGAAGAGATGGAACAGAGTCTGTGAGCATGAAAGGAAGAGCCTCACGGGAAACATACTAGAAGACAAATCAGAGATGAGACTTAAAGAAAATATTAGAATCATGTAGGATGATATCAAAAGGAACAACATATATATGACTAGAATTACAGAACAGGGCAGTGACAGGGAAGTCACTGAGAAAATTGTGGGAGAAGTACTAGAAGATAATTCCCCAGGTATTTTAAAGAATGGGGAAACCCACATTCAGGAAGCACAGGAAACAACAAATAAACTGGACCCAAAAAAGAGCAACACCAAGACATCATAGTCAAATTCTCCAAATTAAAAGATAAGGATAGAATTCTAAAAGCAACACGAGAAAAACAAAGAGTCACCTACAAAGAGGAAGCAATTAGATTAAGTGCTGATGTTTTCAGCAGAAACCATGCTGAACAATGGATGATATATAATTGAAAGAAAACAATCACCAGCCAAGGATCCTATACCCAGCAGAGCTCTTCATAAAATAGGAATGAGGAATTAGATCCTTTGCAGAAAAGAAGGAACTATAAGAATTTGCGAAAACAAGACCAGAACTACAAGAAATTTTAAGTTAAGTCCTTCACATAGAGAAGCTAAAGGAAAAGTGGGTAGACCATAGAAATCAGAAACAACAGAAAAAGGAGCACAATAAAATGACAAAAGTAAAACCTGGCTTGACAATAATCACACTTACTATAAAACCAAATGCACCAAGTAAGAGAAAATGAGTAGCAGAATGAATGAAAAAACAAAGGCCATCAGTATGTTGCCTATAAGAGACATATTTTTTGAAAATAAGTGAAAGACAGATTCAAAATCAAAGGCTGGAAAAAATATATACCCAGCAAGATGCAGCAGAGAGCCAGACACCTGGAGTTTGAGCAACAGAAGTCAAAAGCAACTGTCAGCACACACCGGGAAGCTGCTTTCTGATGCCACACATGCACAGGAGAGTGGCTGGCTGACACCACACACATGGCAGGGAGCTGCTTTCTAGTGCCACACACGTGTCAGGGAGTGAAGTGCCAAGGCGAGTAGGAAAGCTGGAATCTGAGTGAATGCGAGCCCAGATATCCATTCATTTCATTGCTGGCCCATACCCAGAACTCTGCTCCTGTCACTACTGGCCCACAGCCAGAAGATTGCTCCTAACAGGTACTGGGAGTGATGCTGGAACTTGAGTAAGGTACTTTTTGTGGGGAGGTCACTGCTATCATGTGGGACCTCTTAAGCTCAATCAGAAGGGAGTAAGACAGCTGGACCTCATTCTTGAAAGGAAAACCAAGGCTTCCCGGTTTTCCAATCAGGTCTCTGCACTCTGCCTCACATCTCCTCACATCTAGTCCATCAACTGCCTTTAGCCCAGAGCACCTTGGGCTACCCAATCTGCAGCAACTGTCTGATAGAGGAGGCTGCTTCCACAAGCGTTTTCTCTATAGAACTGAGAGAAACTGAGGCTGGGTAGCTGCCCCACTCTCTTATGGAATGGTGACTTCAGATCAAGAACCTGGTATCGCCTTAGACATGGAAAACTCTACTACAGCAATTTCACATAGGAGGCAGGCTACCTCATCCCCTACACAAAGCCAAACCAAGATGTCACCCAAAAAAGTGACACAGTATCAATAGATTTCCTGAAGCCAGAAAATCTGATGAAACTTTCTGATGTAGAATTTAAAAGAACAGTAATTTAATATTTTCAATGAGTGAAAGACAAACTTGAAGAATAACAGGACACCTCAAGCAAGAGCTAGGAGAATCTTAAAAAAAGATCCAAAATAATGCAGATAAAACAAATTAGACATTAGAGGCTCTGGAAAAACAAGAAACCACAATCCAAAATAAGAGGGCCGATGTTTCAGATGCTGTCAACATAATGGAGGGCCACATGAACAGGGTTGAAGAGATGAAAAATGGAACCAGTGAAATAGAAGATAAAATTGTCACCACTGATCTTCTAGAACAAAAAGCAGAATAAAAAAGAATGGAAAAAGAAGAAAACCTAATACTAATGTAAGACACCATCAAGAGCAATAGCATGCACATAATCGAAATCCCAGAACAGGAAGAAGAAAGTAAAGGCACCGAAAAAGTAGTGGAAGGATTACTAGAAGAAAATTTCCCACACATAAAGAAGAATGAGAGAGTATATAATCAAGACCCTGAGAGAACACCATATAGAACAGACCCCAAAAGGAAAACACTAAGACATAGC